AAGGTGCCCTGTATTCATAAAGGACACATTGAATTAAAACCCCCTTTGTACATGTAGTCTCCCAGCCTGGGAGTGACATTCATGTCACTTAATTGAGCAACATGCTCTGGGAACTAAAAGCAGGATTCTGCTTAGAGAGGACGAACACTGGGAAACTCAAGTGCTTGCTCTGTGCCCACACATGGGCTCCTAGTTGCCTAGTGTGCAAACTTTCAGACCTTAATGAGAACCATAATAATGTGGGTGTGTCTGTCCATCTGCACCAGCGGACAGACGGGCCCATTACAAAGATCACAGCCTCTCCAGTTTGCTGGCCATGGGGACAGAGTCAAGAGCATGAGCACAGGGAGCCAATTTTGCTGGCACAAAACTTAAAAACAACAACAACATAAACCCACAGGGCTGTCTGACTAACCCTGACAAACACATTAACCGCAAATGCATTCCTGGAATTTACGCTCTTCTGCCTCAACGCTGTGTGCAATTATCAGGGCCCTCAGACCGGCAAAGGTCGGCATCAGCACCAACTTCAGTTCTGAGTATGACACAACCCTGCATCTCAGTAACACAGACAGATGCATCTTCAGAAGCATCGCACAACACTGCTATCTCAACATGCCTGGCCTGTGCCTGGTCCTCTAGTATGTGTATTAGGTTAAGTTGGCCTTATGGGCATATAATTTTCTTGTATAACAGGGAATGAAAGCCATTCAGATTTTCTCTGCTGGATCTGTTAAGAATAACAGACTTAATCACAGCAAGGCCGATCTAATCTCATTTCTGTTTTTCTGGTGAAATTAAATAAAATCCCTTATACTGTCTGCTCGCTGTTTAATGTGAATTTGTTTTCTGGGTGAGATAAGAGCTTATGGAGAGGTCAAATAACTTAGAAGGCCTACCATATAGAAATTCAAGAAAGAAGATAGCGGAAAAAAATTGAACACTCTTAGTTGAATCATGAGGTACAAACTTAGCCTTAGAAGCATGAGGCACTGCTTCAAGGGTGCTATGTACATATAAATGTAAAGTAGGGACCTTCAAGTCCAAAGCATGAATCCATGGGCATTAATGGCCCATCCAATGGGGAGCAAGCTTTCAGTGTAGCAAGCCCATGTGATTCAGGTAAGTTCAGATCGAGCCTGAGGCTCTCTGTACTCAGCACTTTGTAGGCACCAAGTAGTTTCCTTTACAATGTTTACAAGTGTGTGTGTGTGTGTGTGTGTGTGTGTGTGTGTGTGTTTGTGCCAGTACTGAGGCTTGAACTTTGGGCCATGCTGCTCTCCCTTAGCTTTTTACTCAAGGCTGGTTCTCTACTATTTGAGCCACAGCTCCACTTCTAGCTTTTTGGTGTTTAATTAGAGAAGAGAATCACAGAGACTTTCCCACCTGGGCTGGCTTTAAACCTCAATCCTCAGATCTTAGCCTCCTGAATAGCTAGGATTACAGGCATCAGCCAATAGCACCAAGCAAAGTAGTCACTCTTAAGTGTGATACTGAAAAGCTAAAACATAAAACCAAAACATAGCATGTCCCCATCACTAAAAGGGACAATGCCATTTTGAAAAGGATTTATTTCACAGATGGTTTACACAGTCATGGTACTTTATAGCGGAAAGAAGTGGAAAGGACAGGAGAGATCGTTGTCCAGTTTAATCTACTTCATGAATGAAGGAAAAGTGAGAGTCATGGCTTAGTGACCCGGATGGAGCCATTCTTTAATCTATGACCAGACATGGGTAGAGTTATTCATTTTTGCTATTCTTCTGTTGCCAACATCTTCAGTTAAGACCACTCCAATACTGGCAAGGCAAGGTTGCCTGTACCGTGTGGACATCAGGGCCTCTTATCTCAAATGCCCACAGCCCGGGTTGCAAAGTGTCTGGGCTAGAGAAATACTTTGAGATACGACACACAAGAGAGTAAATCAGAACTCATCTCTGCATCTCACCTGGGCCACAAGCAGAATAGATGAGCTTTTTCCTTCCACATCTGTAATAAGATGTGTATGCCAAAGAGCACATGAGCTGGCACCAAATTCACTGAAAAAAAAAACAGCTGCCCACCTGGGAAGAAGGCACACCCAAAAGCACCCAAAGTCTGGACTGACAAAACCTACACTAGTAACAAAGGCTAGGATGCAACTCTGATCCCTAAGGGGCCATTGAGAATAAGAGCTTGGTTTCATCCAAGACACTTAGAAAGGTCATCCACCAACCAAAATTAGGCTGTCCTTCTCCAACTAAAATCCAAGGAAAATTATTCTACAAATAGAACAAGAATTTATTATGCCCAGGATTCGTATCACTTTAATAACTTTCTGAGAACATTGACAAATTTAATTTACAAGATACACTGGGGACTCCAGCTCATAAAATTAAGAAAAAATATTGCTTTCCTAATGGTCAGATTTCTTAAATTGCCATTTAGATTTAGGCATGTGATTTACTTGTTTCTTATTTATTTTTTTGGAGAAGAGCATACATTGATCACTGTGTTCTGCATTCTGTTCTGTCTGGTCTATTTGAATATGCCTTGACAGCATACTCACTTAGACACAAGCTTTGGTTCTGTGCTCAGAGAGCTCTGCATCAGGGGACCCTAGGATGGGACCACACATGCGTACAGCATGGGTACCTTCCCTCACCATCCCAGTCCATGGGACTGGTGCTGGGACACTGGATCCAGTCCCAACTAGAGCCCAACTTTTCTGTGCTTCATTTTTCTGACACAGTATAACTGCACAAATATTTTCTAAGGAAATTATGCACCACTTGTGGCTCCTACCTGTAATCTTACTCAGGAAGCTGAAATCTAAGGACCACGGTTCAAAGCCAGCCAGAGCAGCAAAGTCTGTGAGACTCTTAGCATTAATTAACCAACAAAAAGCAGGTAGTAGTACTTTGGCAAGTGGTAAAGCACTGGCCTTCAGTGAAAAAGCTAAAGGACAGCTTCTAGGCCCTGAGTTCAAGCCCCTCCCGCCACAATTGAGCTTTTTAGTTTACTAAGACACTTTCTGAATGTCAACAAAATAGCTGCACCTTGTTATTATTACTGTTATTATTATTATTGCATGTACAGAGTGGTAATCAGTTAACAAAATAATTATTTCATTTGAGCTTCATCAGAGACTGGAAACAAGATTCCCCATATATAACTAATTCATACTATGCACCAAGGAGAACCTGCTCTGAATTCCCTGTCAGTGCCCTCCTGTCACACTAGATGAGGTGAGCAGTCAACAAAAATATCGCCAGGACAGGGCTTTCTTTATAGCTGCTAGAGAACTGGGGCTTGGCTTTGCTTTCTCACTGGCGGTCTGTCACTGGAGCTACAGCTCCCCTTCTGGCTTTTTGGTAGTTAATTGAGGATCAGCCTGTCACATACTTTTATGCCTGTGCTGGCTTTGACCCTGGATCCTCATAAGATCTCAGCTTCCTGAGTAGCTAGGATGGCAGGCATGAGCCTCTGGTGCCAGGCCCAGGGCAGGGTCTCTAAACCTACATTTATTAGTTTGATAACTCTACCCAATAAGAAAAAAAAAAGATACTGTAGAGTTTAAAAACAAATCCTGTACAGCTTTACATTTGAACTCTTTTCTTTAAAAGCCCTGAGTTGTGCACAGGGGGGGTTAAAGACTTTATAAACAAGGAAAAACCACCAAATTCCCTGTCTATGCTTGGTAAACAGAACTTTCTGGGTCATCCCCCTGTTCTTTATCTTCTTCTTCCTTCTACTCCTCTCCCTCATCCTTCTGGTCATTCTCAGCCACAGTGACTCTTTTTTTGCCTCACCTGCTTTCAGCAGTATTCTCTGAGTATTTTTTCTTCAGCTCAACAGTCTACTTTGCAAAGGGCTGCTGTCCTCAAAGCAGCGGGTGTCCATCTCCCCCAAGGTTGTTTTTGCAATATCACCCATGCACTGCAGCAGGCTGGGCAGGACTCAGAACAGAGCAGGAAGGTGAAAGGAGGCTTCTGGGATGTGTGGGGATCCTTGAATCTCCCTTTTGTCTACAGTTGGAGGGGCTACAGGCTTTCATTTCTCTTTCATAGTAAGCTTTGTCTGACTTTGCCAGACCTCTTTCCTCTTTTCCTCTTTCACAGCGTCTGCCCAGTGTCTGCCTCCTGACCATAGCCCTGTCCCTGTGAAACCGTGTGTACCGCAGTGGCTGTAAGGGCAGGAGCCCAGGCAGCCTCTTGGTCTGCCAGAAGGCCCTTAGGACCTGGCTACAAAGTGTGTACTGATACTGGACGGATTTCTGGGGGAACCAGAGTCTCATGGAAAGGCCCAGAATGCTGTAAGATATAAGGGGGAAATGACAGAAATGCTGACACATGAGTGCTGGTTTGTGTTCTCCCTCCCCCCTCCCCCCACTGTGATTTTCTTTGGTATGAGAACATTCTGTCACCACTAACTTTTCCTCTAAATATTCCAAAAACACCTTAGAGGTTGCCCATCTTCTGAACAGCCATCTTCAGAAGAAATGAAGTTAAATACATAGGATGTGAAAGGCTGGGTTTTGTTTCTGGGCTTAGACATATTAAAAACAAGTCTATTTGCTTTGATTCATTTGATAGTGCACCGCTCAGAGTTCCAGAGTAAAATCCACATCTGTGCACACCCACAGTGATTTCAGATCCGTAAACATGTTTGTCCCAATGGTTACTGAATATTTCAAGAGACACCATCTCTTCCCTCGGCCTTCATCTCTAATAGGAAACTATTACATAGAGTGGTCTTAAATTTGGCCATTTCCCTTTCGATAATACTTCTCTCTGATCTGGCTTTAGGGAAGGAAAAATAACATGCATTATATTATCTCATGTAGAGAAATCAAGATCTTCTGCATCTCTAGAAAATCCAACAGGAGGATAAAATTTTGAGTTTAAAATTCAATAGTCATATACACAAGCTCCTGCCTTGACCAAAGGATGTGTCTTTTGGACTAGGAAAAACAAGGATGTGAATTAAGATTCTGTTCCCCAAGCGTCCACCCCTCTCACCTCTTGTTCCGGTCCTCTAGCTGCAGTGTATACACCATGTCATCAGCAGCGTGTGTCTTGGAGTTGGAGTTACTGTCCCCCCACTTTAGCTTTAGGCTCTGGGGGCCGGCAGCAGCGCACTCCAGCCTAGGAGGCAAGGGTGGCAAGGGCCGGGTTTTTGCTTTAATGAACTGACTAAATGGTCCAGCTCCAATTTCATTGATAGCCTGAATTCTGATCCTGGAAAAAAAAAACAACAACAAAATAGTTTAAAATATAAAATGTAAAAGTTTTTCATTCAAAGCAAACATTGGACAGGGTATTTATTATTTGCCCTTAAAATAAAATGGTTTAATCAAATGAAGGAAAACAAGTAGGGAGCTGAGTGCAGGTGGCTCACGTCTAATCCTAGGTACTCAGGAGGCTGAGATCTGAGGATCACGGTTCATAGCCAGCGTGGGTGGATAAATCTAAGAGCCTCTTATCACCAGTTTAACCAGCAAAAAGCCAGAAATGTGGTTCAAGTGGCAGAGTGCCAGCCCTTAATTAAATTATGAACTGAATATGAGAACAAATTTGTCTTATTTAGAGTCAAAACCAAAGGACAACAGCCTTCACCAAGTAGCGAGGTGTTGGAAAATCGCTACCAGTGGCTTATTGTGCATGCAGCCTTATGGGTAGCAAAGAATTTAACCCCATGTAGGGTCTATGAATGTGAAATCTAAGAAAGCTCAACCATGCAATATGGAGAACTCTTTCATATGCTCAACGAGAGTACGAGTCCCATTGTTCTTGTTCCCTTGCTTCCCAGTCCTTGAGCAGAACAGCTCTCCACTCACCAAGTAGCATGCTGATGCTGCTGTGCTGTCCTGACCTGACCTTCCTTCCACTCCCGTCCTGACCTTCCTTCTGCACTTCTTACAGTGACTGCACCCTTTCCTGGAGGTGGTGGATGCACGCCCCAGTGGGGCCTTCTCCACTCCTCTCACCAAAGGCCTCCCCCACTCCTCCTCTTTTCTTCTGTACAATACAAAATAGCCTAAAATCATCTTTACTCAAGCCATCTCTCACCCATTGCTTCAGCCATGTAAAGAGCTACAAGACATTGCTAAAAATACTAAAGATGATTATATATATTGTTAATGAGCTAGAAGATCCCTCCCAACTGACAGAGACAATACAATTAAAAAAAAAAACTAATGACTCCAGCCAGGTATGGTAGCATATACTGGTAATTCCAGCATTCAGAAGGCAGAGGCAAGAGGAAGGCAAGTTCAAGGTCAGCCTAGATTACATAGTGAGACCCTATTTCAAAATCCAAAAAAAAGAAAAAAAGGAAAGAAAGAAGAAAAGAAAATGAGAGATAAGGTCAAACTGCTTCTAAAATTTATGTAGAATGGCAAAGGAACTAAAATAGCTATCACAAATTGAAAGAAAAAAAAAAAAAGAAGCTTGGAGAAATTGCACCTGACTTTAGGACTTACTATAAAGCTACAGTAATCAAGACAGTGTGGTACTGGTGAGGAGACGAACACATGGATCAATGAGACAGAACAGAGGCTCCAGAAATAGACATACACAAATATGGCCGATTGATTTTTGACCCAGGTGCAAAAGCAATTCAATGGAGAGAGGATAGTCTTTTCAACAAACTGGTTTGGAGCAATTGGATGTCAACAGGAAACAGTAAATAAGCCTCAACTTACACCTCACACCTGGTAACAAGAACTTAGCTCAAAAAAATGAGCCATGGATCTAAATGCAGAACACGCAACTTTGAAGAAGAAAACACAGGGAAAAAGCCTTTATTCTCAGAATTAAAGGGTCTGCATATATGATGCCAAAATGAAGTCACCACGTTTTCTCTCAGGTGCAGAAGTTATATCTAGGGCACAAACATATATGAAAACACATGCAGGGTCATATGCATAAAGCACTAACACTTTAACTAAAGTATGGGGAGGATTCCAATGGCATCATTCCTTTGAATAAACAATTGAACAGAGATGAATTCAGGAAAGACACATTTTGTTAGGGGAGGAGTCAGGTCAAGGGGGGAAAACAGGCAAATGGTGAGAGGAAGGGCACCCATAATATTTAATGTACATCTGTGAAAATGGAACCAGGTGATTTGGGATGGGCGTGTAAAGGAGGAGCACTTTCTAGTGTTTAATATCTTCTAATTACATAATAAACCAGGAAAGCTTTCAAGGTATCTAAGTGTGCTCTGGTGAGCTCTAAAATGACCATTTATGCCACGATTACCTTATGACATTTTTATAGAGACTGCTATAATTACCAGCAGCAGAGAAAACCCAGTAAGCACATGAGAGGGGACTCGAGGCTCTTGGACCAAAGTCACCCCATCTTTGGTCCAGTAGTCTGCAGACTACTAAGGCCTCCTACTTCCTTTATAGCTCCAATAGTCTGCAGACCCTCTTCCCCACCCCACCATTTCCTTCCTCTGCCTTACGGCCAAGGACAGCCCAGAGGACTGGCTTCTTCTCCAGCCGTGCTCTGGAGGGTGAGGAGAGGTAAGGCACAGAGCTCAGGAGCTGGTGGGAATGGTGACTGTCCCACTGCCATGGACAGTCACCCCACCCCACGCGGTGAACCTGCTTTCTTCGGAAGAATGTGCTTGAGTCATCAAGGATGACTGGAGGTCAACTCAAAGAGACCAGATAACTTCATGGACAAGACTCAGTGCTACCAGGGGTTGAAGTGTGGGTTTCACAGGAGTGATTTCACCTCTAATCCCTCCCCTGACCCCATGAGGCAGGAACTACGCTGCCTACTTTACAAGCGAAGGATCTGATGCACAGCCAGGTCTGGTTCCTTGACTAGTCCATACGTGAGACCCAGGTCAGACCTGCATGTGGGGAAACTGAGGCCCTTCAGGCTCCAAGGCCTTTGTTAAGTCCTGGCACACCATATTTGCCTATCTGACAACTGGGCACCAGACAAAAGGTCGTTTTAGCTCAAGCCACACGTGTCAATTCTGCTTTGTCTCCATGAAATATTGAGAAGTGTCAACAAATTTATTCTCATTTTATTTAGTTAGCATTTTGGTCCTGAGATCGGCTACTTAAGACTTTAAAATACTTAACCCAGCTTCCCTATTTTTTTGGTAAAAATATACCTTCTTTCCGTAAAGCAACTGAAAACCATCTTTCCTGAGTAGCAGACACTCTGCACTAACATCAATTATTCTCACTATAAAGTAACACTCACAACTGAAAAAGGACTGAGGCACTAACAACACAGAGGTGCTATCTTATATTCTGGGAAACAAATATTAAGAACTCTAAGGAGAAAAGATTTAGAAAGATGAAGAAAAGGCCTCACGCAGTGATTTCCTGTTTCGTCTTAGGATGAAAAAATGTAGGGTATCAAAATCATTTCCTAACTCCGGTGAGAGATGACAGAAGAGGGGCAAGGTAGGGTGGTAATTAGTGATGCATTACACACCAACCTGATGAGCAAGTCATACATACCTCCAAAAGGAAAAAAACTTGCCAACTTTTAGAAAAGTTAAAATTAAAACCTATCCCACACTCCAAAGGAACTTTTCTTTAGCGGAAGATAATGGGATCATCTTGAAATTTAGGCACAACCCATTGATGTGTTTTTAAAATATGTAACGTGCATTATGTCAGTTTTGGAAATCATTAGCCCTGCAAACGAAGCCAAAGGGAAACGGAGATGTGCTGTCCAGCATAGGGAAGTGATGTCATCCTGTCTTGGCCAGGCTCCTGTGCAAGAATCTCTTCAAGTTCCCAGGAGGTGTCCGAGTCCATCAATATACTAACACTGCTGATTAGGTAAATCAAATTACAAAACATATCTTTATACACTTGGATTAAAAAGACACCATTAAAATATCTATCCAGTAGTGCCAAAGACATTCCTGCTTCCGAAGATCACACCGTCTCTTTAATGCACTTGATACATAGTCACAGTCAAATTCCCAATACTAAGCCTATTAAAAGAAAAATGACTTTCAAAACAAATTGTCCTTGCCAGGGATGATGACATTTCTTATCTCGAGTGGTCATCGCTGCTGTCTGATCGTGCATGGAGAATAAGGACAGGGCCCAGGGAAGGCTGGGGCAATAGAGGACTAAGAAACAAAAATGTAAGGGAAAACAAAGGAGGAGGCAACAATGCTTGATAAGAAATGTACTCATTACCTTGCCCATGTAATTGTAACCCCTCTGTACGGTATTTTCACAATGAAAAATAAAAAAAAAAAAGAAATGTACTCATTACCTTGCTCATGTAACTGTAACCCCTTGGTACGGTATTTTCACAATAAAAAAAAAAGAAAGAAAAAGAAGAAAAGAAACAAAAATGTACTTTACATAGCACTCTTGATCCAGTCTACGATCTAATCACCCAACTGCAAAAAAGAAGTAATGAGGCTTAGTGGCTCGTGCCTATCATCCCAGTGACTTAGAAGGACTGAGGCCATCCTGGACAAAAAAACCAACAAAAATTTGTTCGTCCCAATTTCAGTCAATAGAAAGCTAAGCATTGTGGCACATGCCTGTCGTCCTAGCTACGCAGGAAGCGTCAACAGGAAGATCATGGTTCTAGCTGGTCCAATTTAAAAAGTGCCAAGGGCAGGGCTCAAGTGGTTGAATATCCCCAGTTCAAACCCCATTTATTCTCCCCCCAAAATGTGAGAGAACCATTATCAAATAACTTCTACAGGGCGAAAATGTTCTAAGTAGAGAAAGTCCCTGTGTGGGAGCGACACACTCGGTTGCGTTCCGTGGAGCAGGCTCTGAACTCCTCCAGCCAGGTCCCTTCCCCTGGGAGCATGCTGGCAGCGTACACCCACCTGCCTCCACTCGACAGACCTGCAGCAATGGTGAAGTCCTGCAGTACATCCCATTGCTTAGAAGCATGGGGCCCCAGCCTGATTTCTGGTTCATTTCTTCCCTATCAAACACGCACAGAAAGCTATCGAATGCTTACAATCCAACGAATGCCCAGACAAAGAGCCAGGCATCTTGCCACAATACACAACCACCCTGCCATAGGTAGTTTACATTGTCATCCTCATTTTAGACACCAGGAACCGGAGACCCAGACTGAGGTCAGAGAAAATAAGTGAGGTGTTGAAGTCCACAGTGGTTAACTCATGTGCTGCACCGGTCTACATGTGCCGAAGCACACTGCACTCGGCTCCAGTAGAAGCAGTGCACCTGGTCCAGTCATCCGCAAGGGATGCTCAC